TCGCCACCCCCTTGGGGTGCCCGGGGGGCAAGGGGAGCTCAGCAAACCCCCGCTCCTAGCAGGGACACCCGCAGAGTCTGAACACCAGCCAGGAGGGGCAGAGAGCTGGCGAGCAGACGGCATCTTAGAGAGGCAGGTTCAGGAGCCAGGTCCCTCCGATTTATGATTTGGCAGCACAAATAATCCCTGACATCACGCACAGCTGATGAGGCACTCTCCCGAGGACTTTGGTATTTAAACACTTTTTTGCATGACAGGCTGCCCGAGAATGGCTCCAAGAGCAATTAAGGACCAGGTTAGACAGTAACCTGCCAGCAATAGTCAATTTTGCCCTGGGGTGCAAGTAAGCAACACTCCAAAGTTCTTCCCAGATAGGGATGCTATGGCGTTACTCTGTAACGAGTAAATTAAACGTGAAATACTCCACCAGAGCGGAAGGAAGCATGCGAGGAAAGCAGCTTTGGAAGAGGAAGGATGGACAAGCCGCCTTATCAGTCCATGACTCGGAAGAGGAGGTCATCCTCGGGAAGGGGCACGTCACCCTGCCCGCCTCACAGCGGGGCTTCGGATTCACAGAAGGTTTTATCCCAGCCACAGGCCTTCAGCTTCATCCCCGCTCCCCAACGTCCCACCAGCAAACTAGCAACAGGCCCTTGAACACTGAACGAATAAAAAGGTTTTGATCCAATTCCGGTCTCATAAGCTACCCTGAAGCAACATCGCCCAAAACATTTTTAGTACTCCTAGAGAGTAAGATTTAAAGTCTGTTTTTCTGGGAAAAAAATCTCCCTTAAGTTTTTATAACCTTTAACAGATAAAATGCAGATACAAATGGACTCACCGATTTTGTTTATCAGCATCTAACACACTGCTTGTGGGCAACGCATTTCCCCACGAGATCCCAACACATCTCCTGGACCACAAACAAGTGAAAAACCTGTAGCCAGTTTTTAAGAACAGCAAAATCTGAGACTACATAAGATGATCGCATATGTCTCAAGGGTGAGCCTATCCTCCCAAAATTAAGAGGAAGATGCAGTTTCAACAATCTCTCTTTTTATCTATTACCATATATTCAATAAGGAGCTACCCAGTAGAGGCCATAGCGTCTCAGAAGGGACTGAACGTGACGAGCCAAACTGTGCTTAATTCCTTACGTGGCTCCTCATCAGATATTTATAATCAACGTAACTCCAAGCTAAATCCCACTCGGTGTCACTGACCTGCGTCAGACACTCAGTCCTCCCGCAACAAACTTCATATAGAGACCACAAATTTAATCCCTTGAGCAGACAATCTTGTTTCCTAGCGGTTCTGAGAGACGCTTGGGGGAAAAGCTTGCATTAGTGCTGTCTCTTCAGGGACTTGCCTTTTCCAACCTCTGCTTTTTCACCAGCTGCCTCAAGCCTACAGGATTGCACAAAGGATTAACAAAAAAGGATCCACAAGACATTTTATTCAAGTCATCGTCTGAGATATTTGAGCAGTTCTGACTCCAGACAAGTTTTCTTCCCTTGTGCTCCAAGTCATTTAATAACCGTTAGAAGTGTGCGTGTCTGAGAGTGGATTTTGTAGAACTACCTATTTAAACAAACCAGTAAGACTCAACCCTGGTCATCTGACCACACAGTCTTTGGGGGAAAAGCCATCAAAACGTAGTCTCAGCCTGCAAGCGTATTCACACAGAGACACGTTCTAGAAACCCAACTGACAAAACGAAAAGCCTGCATTATGCTACACGTATTTCTTACAATTCAAACGAGACTGGAGACAAGAGCATCTCAGATTAAAAAACCTTTTGCCATTGAAATAGGGACTTACACTTTCAACCATCTTGTAGCTGTTTTATCCAAGAATAAAAAATGAGTTAAACCCAAAAAAGTTGGTTTTGTCCCCTGTAAAGTTTCCTGTATCAAATAACTTGAAAAAATGCTTTAGAAATCACTTTAAAGAAGTACTCGTGGTCTTGTTAACTGAAGTTGACAGGAAATGGTTTCCAGTTTTAGGTTTTTTGGCTCCACTGGATTAGTATTTTCATTACCAGCACAATAAATTCCCTGACTGGGAAAGACACTGGTAGCCTGGAAGTGTCTTGGATTAGACTGCCATTTCATAAAGTGCTTGTATTCAAAACCATAGAGCTGTCAAAAAGTGTCCTTTCCACAATGGGGAATGAGAGAGTCCCCAGTATGGAACTTCATTCAGGTCAGTCTCTCCCAGTTGTCGCTGGGTTTTGGCACAGACGCTTATTAGCCTCCAAGGCGCTGACCTTCTCCCCATGCAAATCCTCCCGGTCGCTCTTCTGGCAAGGGATTGTAATTAGGATCATCTTCTGGTGTATCAAATATTGCTTTCCTGGAAAACAGAAAAGATTTTTTCTTTTCCCTTTAGAATACGTGTTTCACGATAAGGCCAAGACTGCTCAAATTCTGCACACGTACAGCATCCTCCCTCAGAAACAGCCTGCCAAAGCACTGGTGATTTATATCCAAGTCACACTTGCTCTCCAATTAGGAGCCATCTGGACGAAGGTCTAGAATTATTTGCCTAAATCAACCGAGACTGATGAGATTCAGCTGAAAGTTAGAATTCTACCTCCAGTATAAGGCAGAATTTCATACATCTAGCATGTTCTCCTAGGACAGGATACGGGAGCAAAACATGAACGCGATATTGAAGAGCTCCTCACATCTCGAGAAAGGGACAAAGCAAGAGTCAAATACAGGCAGTATGATCTCAGTCTCACAGGCAGGATGCAGGCATTGACAGGCAGACTTGAGATCCATAGAAGAGTCTGCATTTGAGACATCAGAGGCTTGGGTTTCCTATTTATTACAAAAATCACGCTTAATCTCCTAGGTTATTTTGCAACTCTCAAAACTAGTTTGAGAGGTTCTTTCTCTGTAGATTTGTTTATCCAGAAACAAAAATGTAGAAGATTCTTTGAAACAAACAAAAAAAATCACGGGCTGCATTCAAGCAGTCATTACATCCAAAACGTCTTAAAAGTAAAGTGTGATGAACAAGACAGTTCTTAGAATAGCTAAAGGGATTCTTCTCTTCACCCAGAGTGACAGGCCATTTCAGAGAAGTTTTCAGAACAGAAAAAAAGAAAATATGGGGGGGTATTACAGGATTGCAGCTAAGACAAAGAAAATTAAAGCATCTGGGGAAAAAAAAAAAATCCCTAATTCTAGACCCAGACAAGAATCACAAGCAGCCTTCTGAATACAGACACGTAAAAGGATTTAAACGGCAGCCTGAAGACAGGTTGACATTTTTTCCGGAGGAAGAGAGTTACTGAGACAGCACGCATTGCTCCAACAGCCTTAGGATTCCTCCTGCACGCAGCTGGAGGCATCGCCCTCTGTGAAAATGGGAAATCTCAAATATATCCTTATCGCACACGTGGAATTGGACACTCAGTTTGTCTAGAGTTGCATTTATCTGAAGGCAGCCCTCATCAGAAACAGCCTTCAGCTGCTAAGGCCAGGTTAGATCAGTGTAGGCCTACAAAAGCGACCAGCACAGCTGTCCTGGGACAGCCGGTGCGGCAGCCATCCCCTGGAACAGTTACTTACTGAAGATAAAGCCTATACTGAACAGAAATCAACTATCAGTGTAAGTGCACTTGTCCAATCAAACAGGTATGACCCAGCAGTTAAACTCAGCATGGGTCTGAATACGACATTTTAATTCCTCAGGCTAGTTCAAACAAAAAAAGAGAATCAGTTCAGCTCTAGATAATTCTAAGAGTGTCATAGAGCTCAACTTCCAATGTCTCAGCTGCCCTATCGTTTAGGCAAGCTTCTCTCAGCCAGGCTGCTGTACTGCATCACAGATGATTATAGCCCTCTGCACAAGAGGGAACTGAGTAGGAGTAGCACCGCTCAGTAGTACAAACACTGAAGCCTTTTGCCAAAGTTGTGAAATAGAGAATGATTTACAGATAAAAAAAATATTAAATATATTTAATACACAGCAGGACTTTTGGTATTCCTCACACCTCAATAAGAGACGTGCATCTCTGGTACCACCAACAGGCAAAACTCAGTTAGCAAAGACTAAAAAAATGTCACCAAAGAAATCAAGGGTTACAAAACCCCCTTAGCCCTTCTCCGCAAGAAGTTAGTTCCCACTTACACATCTGTAAGACACCCCCCTCCCGTCTGGCAACACATGAGTTAAAAAAAAGAGCAAGTACGGACACACCACAGTTCTGTCTCGGGCTGTCTAATTTACCAGAAGTTGATGTGACTGAATTATAAACAGTTTTCCATGCAAGCACTTTTCCTACATCCGTTCCAAATCAGACACCAATACTTACAGGACAGATGGTGTTCTCAGAAGCCTTCCACCACCAGGCTGATTGGGAAAGACATCCTCTAAGAAAAAATATATATGCCCAACGGCAATGCCTAGTACATAAAGAAAAGTCATATGGTGATTTTCAATACTTCTCCTTTACAACTTTCAAATGCTTCACTAGAGTTTTCAGGAAAAAAAAAAAAAAAAAAAACAACCCAAAAAACCCACCACCACACATTGCTTTTGTATTTTTAGATCTCTTATCATATTTTCTGTGAAAGAATCAATGAAGCGCATTGACATCAGATGAAAAGCTTAACTTACACTACAAGACATTAATACAAGGAAAACTGTTTGTCATTATTAAACATACTGATGTCATGGCTTTACTAGAGTTGATAAAAATTGTAATATAAGCTATTTTACTTCAATAGTCTGATGCCCACAATCAGATGACGTACCTGGGCTGATTCCAAGCAATTAAAAGCCAAAGCATCAGAAGCTCTTTCCATCCTTGTTACAGTACAAAATACGCTACAGTGTTTAGAAATCAAGAAAAGCCTGGTATAAATGTAGCACCATTATACCAGACTAATACTTAGTAAGAGGCATTTAGCCCTTTGGTTTTTTCCACATTTTTTGTCTCATGTAAAACACGAGCAGGAACAAATCCTTGTGGTTCTTGCAATTCCTTACCCAGGAGATCCACAATGATGGAGTTCCCCAAAAGCAGCGAAAAGCCCATCAATACCCAGGGCAGAAACGGGGCTTGAAAGATGAGAAGACCAAAAAAGTTCATACGGACATAGGGATTCCTGCGGCTCCACACATACACGAGCATTATTGTGAATGCCTGACCCAAGAAAACCAAGTTCACGAACAGGCCAAAAAGCTGTGATAGTTAGTCAAAGAAAACAGTTCACCAAATAATCATTGTGAAGTCAAGCATGAGAAGAATTTGACAGCTTGACCGGTAATCCTACATTTTCCTTACAATTCCTATCTCTACTTTCCCAGGTTCAAGTAAATCAAACCTACTGTCGATCAAATTCAACACCTATAGCAGGATTCAGGGTAGGTGCAGCATGAATAACACCTTTAAAGTATAATTCAGCATGAGATCACTGAAACAACAGCATTTCTCTTGGACAACCTGAGCATGATGACACACCTGAGCAGTCCCCTTCCATCTGATAATCTCATTCCCATAATCCTGCCAAGCAGTAAAAACCCTGAAAGACCAGCCCAATATTTAACAGCAGAAGTCACAAAGCATTCAAAACTACTTTAACAAATACTGTTATTCCTCACACTACAAACAAAATATATTCTCACTTAAGAAGATAAATGTAACATCATGGTTTCAGTTCTCATTCACATATCTTTAGCTTCACTAAAGCAGTTTGGAATTAAAAAAAATAAGGATACAGTCATTAGAAATCCTCCAAAAAGGAACATAAATACAAAATCTGCCGTCCGACCTCGAAAAGAGCCTTCTTCAAGCATTCGGCAGTAACGATATCTGAAGTCGCAGGTCAGGAAAATTTGATTGCAAATAAGTTTAAAGAAAGATCCAAGGGGAAAAGGATTCAATTATACATGAGCTTAGATGTAAGTTTTGTATCAATTTACTTCATCAGCTGGCTCTTTCTGGGTGCCTCAAAAGGGAGGGCAGACCCAGGAGAAAAAAAGTTACTTGGAATTCTCTCCTGTATGTCAGAACCGACCTGCAGGATCAGGCTTGTACAACAAAGCCTTAACGCCACAAAAGCAAACAGCAAAATTCTTGACAACTTCTGAAGGAAATCCCATTGATGTCCATCCATGACATCAGTGAAGCCGG